TGTCCATTCACTTTGAACACTCTACCATCATTAGGATCCTCAATTTCAACTGCTCCATTTTCAAAGACTCTTAGTACCACAAAGGGACCAGTCCACCTAGAACGAAGTTTTCCAGGATGCTTGTGGAGTCTAGAATCATACAGGTATACTTTTTGATTTGGTTCAAAAGTTTTTCTCAAAATGTTTTTATCATGAAAAGCTTTCATTTTTTCCTTGTAGATTCTAGAACTCTCATAGGCCTCATTTCTCAACTCCTCTAACTCAGCCAACTGAAATTTCCTAAGCTTACCTCCCTCTTCTAGGTCGAAATTAAAATGTTTAATAGCCCAATATGCTCGGTGTTCAAGCTCCACAGGTAAATGGCAAGGCTTTCCAAAAATAAGTCTATACGGTGACATGCCTAGGGAAGTCTTAAAAGCAGTACGGTAAGCCCAAAGTGCATCACTTCATCTTAAAGGCCAATCTTTACGATTAGGATTCACCGTTTTTTCCAAAATTTGTTTAATTTCCCTATTAGCCAATTCTACCTGTCCACTAGTTTGGGGGTGGTAAGCAGTAGAGATTTTATGAATAACTCCATATTTTTTCATTAGTGCTTCGAATGAACGGTTGCAAAAGTGTGTGCCTCTGTCACTAATAATGACACGTGGTGTACCAAACCTAGACAAGACATTTTCTTTGAGGAATTTAATAACCGTTTTATTGTCATTAGCTCTACAAGCGACCGCCTCTACCCATTCAGACACATAATCCACCGCCACAATAATGTATAGATAACCAAAAGAAGGTGGAAAGGGGCCCATAAAGTCAATCCCCCAACAATCAAACACTTCTATCACTAAAATGGGGTTTAAAGGCATCATATTACGTCGAGACACGACACCTAATTTTTGACATCTTTCACAGGTTCTACAATAGGTATTAGTGTCTTTGAACAAGGTAGGCCAATAAAAACCACATTGTAGAATTTTTGCAGCAGTATTTTTTATAGAAAAGTGGCCACCACATGCTTGAGTATGACAGAAACTAAGTATGCTAGGTATTTCTTCACTGGGGACACAACGTCTTAATATTTGGTCAGGGCAGTACTTAAACAAACATGGGTCATCCCAATAAAAATTACGTACCTGAACCAAAAACTTCCTCTTATCATTTGTACTCCACTCCTTTGGGATTTCACCTGCAGCCAAGTAGTTCACAATGTGAGCAAACCATGGTAAAGAAGAGACAGAAAATAAATTTTCATCTGGGAATTCATCTCTTATTGGCAAGGTGTTTGTAGTGTCTTCAAAGGTTAGTCTTGATAAGTGGTCTGCTACGACATTCTCCACTCCTTTCTTGTCCTTGATGGTAATGTCAAATTCCTGCAAAAGCAATATCCATCGTATTAATCGCGCCTTAGTATCCTTCTTTGCAAGAAGGTACTTAAGGGCTGCATGATCTGTGAAAATTGTAATGGGAGAACCTATTAAATAGGATCTAAACTTGTCGAGTGCAAAGACCACAGCTAGTAGCTTTTTTTCAGTTGTGGAATAGTTCATCTGAGCACTGTTAAGAGTTCTACTAGCGTAGTAAATGACAAAACGCTTACCCTCTCTTCGTTGTCCCAGTACAGCACCTACCGCATAATCACTAGCATCACACATAATTTCAAACGATAGGGACCAATCAGGTGGTTGCATGATCGGTGCAGAAGTGAGCTTGTTAATCAGTGTTTTAAATGCCTCTTGGCATTCTGGGGTCCATTCAAAATTGGCTTCTTTACTTAGAAGGTTACACAAGGGTCTGGATATGGATGAAAAGTTCTGTATAAACCTCCTATAAAAACCTACGTGACCTAGAAATGATCTTATGTCTTTGATGGTTTTAGGTGTAGGCAATTTGGAGATCAGTTCAATTTTTGATCTGTCGACCTCTATTCCTTTAGAAGAAATTACATGTCCTAAGACAATTCCTGAAGGTACCATAAAATGACATTTCTCCCAATTCNATATAGATTTTTCTAGTAGATATTTATATAGATTTTTCTAGATAATGCTTCTAGAAATGCTATGCATGTTGGGCCTTTTAATTTATTTGGGCCTATAAGTAAAATCTTTAAACCCATATTATTTAGTTCAAAAATCAAGTTTACTACTCAACATCCCCCCTTAAATTTGATTTTGCTACTCCAAGTAGAGTTCTTAACTTGCAAAACAAATCATGCTTGAGTGGTTTAGTGAGAATGTCGGCGATCTACTCCTGGGAGGTTACATATTTCAGATGCACTTCTTTCTTTGCAATGCTTTCTCTTATGAAGTGATATCTTATATCAATGTGCTTGCTTCTATCATGGAATACTGGGTTCTTTGCCAATGCCAATGCCGATTTGTTATCAACGTGGATTTCGATTGATTCTTCTTATGATACTCCAAGCGTCTTCAACAAGTTTCTAAGCCAAATCGCATGGCAGACACTTGATGTAGATGCAACATATTCAGCTTCACATGTAGATAGTTCTATGATCGATTGCTTCTTTGAGCTCCAAGTGAAAGCTGTGTCGCCCAAGGAAAACACATACCCAGTCGTACTCTTTCTATCATCACTATCTCCGCCCCAATCGCTATCACTATATCCAACAAGTTTGAACTCATTAGATGATGAATAGACTAAGCCATAATCAAGCATACCTTTGATGTAGCGAAGAGTTCTCTTTGCAGTTTTCATATGGGTCATGGTAGGTGTCTCCATATAGCGACAGATTAGCCCAACTCCAAAAAGGATATCTAGTCTTGTGCATGTCAAATATCTTAGACTTCCAACAAAACTCTTAAAAAGTGTTGGATTTACTTTTTCACCTTCATCATTCTTCGACAACTTGATTCCGCATTCGACGGGGGTGCATACAGGTTTACAGTCCTCCATATTGAATTTCTTTAGAATTTCTTTAGCATATCCTTCTTGTGAGATGAAAATGCAGTCCTCCATTTGCTTTACCTCTATCCCAAGATAGTAGGTCATAAGGCCGATATCCGTCATCTCAAATTCTTGAGCCATAACCTTCTTAAACTCAGCGATCATACTTTGATTATTTCCTGTGAATATAAGATCATCTACATACAAACAAACAAACAAGCAAAATATCTCCTTTCTCATTTACCTTTGTATAAAGGGCATACTCGTGAGGACATTTTGTAAAGTCATTTTTTAGAAAATACTTGTCAATTCTACTATTCCATGCTCTTGGAGCCTGCTTCAACCCATATAAAGTCTTTTTTAGTTTCAAGACTTTACCTTCATGTCCTTTTATTTTATAGCCCATTGGTTACTCTATATAAATTTCTTCTTCGAGATAGCCATTTAGAAATGCTGATTTCACGTCCATTTGGAATATCTTCCACTTATTATGTGCTGCAAAAGAGATAATTAATCTTATGATTTCTAAACGAGCAATAGGAGAAAATACCTCTTCATAATCGATTCCCGACCATTGGTTGTAGCCTTTGACAACCAATCTTGCTTTATATCTTTTTACGTCTCCTTTAGCGTTCTTCTTTGCCTTGTACACTCACTTAACTCCGATTGCTCTCTTATCTTTGGGAAGAGTTGTCAGCTCCCATGTGTCATTTTTCTCAATAGCCTTAATCTCTTCATCCATGGCATCTCTCCATCTTTTATTTTGCACCTATTCTTCATACCCTATTGGTTCACAATCGACAAAAAGACAAAAAAGTGTGAGATCATTTTGATTTTCGGTTACCTCATATAGCTCTTGTAGGCTCCTCATCCTTGGTGTCCTTTCGCTTGAACTTTCTCCTTGTGAAGATGATGGAAAAGCATCTCCATGAGTAGGTGACAGAGGTGGACTAATAATCTCTTACTGCTCTCCATTCTCTTGTTCTTCTTCATCAAAGAATGGTAAAAAGTCATAGTCTTCTTCTTGAACACCCCAATCCCAATCTCCTTCTTCATCAAACTCGACATCTCTACTTATGGTGATCTTCTCATTGCTTGGATTATACAACTTGTAGCCTTTAGAGCGAGAGTTATAGCTGATGAAGACATACCTTTCACTTTTGTCATCTAACTTGGACCCTTTTTGATCTGGTACATGAGCATATGCAATGCTCCCAAATACTCGTAAGTGAGAGATGATGGGCTTTCTTCCACTCCATGCTTCTTGTGGTGTCTTATTCCACACACTTCTAGAAGGTGATTGGTTAGATAAATACACGGCGCAATTAACAGCTTCAGCCCAAAGTTCTTTGGGCAATCTCTTACTTTTGAGCATGCAGCGGGCCATGTTAAGAAAGGATCTGTTCTTTTTTTCGGCTACTCCATTTTGTTGTGGAGAGTATGAAACTGTCGATGGGCGACGAATTCCATTCTCCTCACAATATTTCTCAAACTTTTTGGAGGTGAACTCTCCTCCTCTATCCGATCTCAAGGCTTTTATACTATATCCGCTTTCTTTTTCAACAAGAGTTTTAAACTTCTTAAAAGTTTCAAAAACTTCCAATTTTTGTTTGAAAAAATAGACCCAAGTCTTTCTACTAAAATCATCAATAAAAAGAACAAAATAATTGCTCTTACCGAGAGAGCTTGGATTAATTGGCCTACAAACATCGGAGTGTACAAGTTCTAGCAGCTTCTTAGCTCTTGTAGATGCTTCTTTTGGAAAACTTTTTCTCGAATGCTTTCCATGTAAGCATCCTTCACATAATTGATCCGCATGATTTATTGGAGGCAAACCTTTCACCATTTTCTTCGTATTCAACAACTTTAAGCCTCCAAAATTAAGATGCCCAAATATCAAGTGGCAAAGTCAAGATGAATCTTTAAAACAAGCTTTAAGCATTTAGCGACATCATTTTGAATGCTTAATGCAAACATTCTATTTCTTGTCTTAAGGACTTTGACAATCAAATTTTCTCTTTGATCTCTTATTGAAAGACTATGATCTTTCAAATGAATATCATAGCCCTTCTCTAAGAGTTGTCCCAAACTTATAATGTTATTCTTCATATTGGGCACATAATAGACATTTGAGATAAATTGATGCGTACTGATTCATCAAGCTCCACAAACATGTTTTTTCTTCCACACATATGGTTGCTTGCTCCTGTATCCAAATACAAAGTATTCTTTTCTCTGCTCTCTTCACCTTTGTAAGTCAATAGTAGTGCAGGATCTACTTCACTTTCCCGATAAGCGTAGTTGGCTTTCTCCTCAACTTGGTTAGTAATATTTTTACATTCTGAAGCATAATGACCAAGTTTTTGACAATTGTAACATTTAATTTGAGATTTGTCATACCTTGGTCCTTTATTTTTCCTCGTACCTTTTCCTCTTCCAAGATCGCTGGTAGAAAATGAACTTTGCCTTCTCTCCTCCTTATAGAATGTAATTCTTCATCGATCTTGACCTCGTCCTCTTCCTCTTTGGCTTCTTCTACTATTGAACCTTCCTTCACTCCCATTCAAAGTGAGCTTTGTTTGAAGAGTTTGCTCTAATAGCTCTTCTTTCACCTTCTTCTTTAGTCTTTCCTCATGGGTTTGTAAAGATCCTATGAGTTGATTGACACTCATACTATCTAGATCTTTAGATTCCTCAATGGCTACAACTATGTAGTCAAATTTAGAATCTAAAGACCTAAGTATCTTCTCAATTACACGAGTGTTGTTCAACTTTTCTCCATTCCTTTTCAATTGATTCACAATAGCTAATACTCTAGAGAAGTAATCAGAAATTGATTCCGATTCTTTCATATGTAAAGCTTCAAACTCACCTTGAAGTGTTTGAAGTCGAACATTTTTCACCTTCTCAACTCCTTTGTGGGAGTTTTGCAAGATCTCCCATGCTTCCTTACTCATAGTAGCACAAGCTACTTTCTCAAACATGTCTTCATCTAAGACTTGATAGATGAGGGTGAGCGCCTTCTTGTCCTTCTTCCTTGCATCCTTCAAACTATCCCTTTGTGCTTGGGATAGAACAACCTCGTCTTGTGGCTCCATGTAGCCTTTCTCTACGATCTCTCATGCATCTTTTGACTCGAGCAATACTTTCATCTTTATGCTCAAATTGTCGTAGTTGTTCTTGTTGAGTTGGGGGACTTGAAAAGGAATCATCCCACTTGCCATTTTTCACAAGAACCTTGGGAATCTGATACTAGTTTGTTGGAGGAAAGATGGGTTTACTAACTTGGATTGGCTAAAGCTTGATAGAGGACAACACTAATAGGAAAAAGGAAGTAAAAAATGAAACTTGTATTTCTCAATTTCAAGACTTTACACACTTTTTTGGCTTGTTACAAAATGGAGGGCACTATCCATTTATATAGTGTTTACAAGAAGATTCTAGTCCACACATTTTCTAGAGACATCTAAACCACACATCAAGATATTTTCCTAGAATGCTCTAAACATTCTTTATAAAACCACATATCTTATTTAGATATTTATATAGATTTTTCTAGATAATACTTCTAGAAATACTACGCATGTTGTGCCTTTTAATTAACTTGGGCCTATAAGCAAAATCCTTAAACCCATATTATTTAGTTCAAAAATCAAGTTTACTACTCAACAAGGTCTCTCTATGATCTGTCCCTACTTTTACCCATGAAAATTCCGTAGTTAAAGATAACCAACGCATTTTTCGTTAGGAACATTCAAGCACTCCGAAACAGCAACATAATGTCAGTAGGAAATATTCCGTTGGTGGCGACCATTAACAACGAATTTCGTGGCTTCAACTGAGAAAAATAGTTCCACTACATTGTGTTTTAAGTCAACCATTTGTACGATATATTCATTTGTTTTTTCATGTATATATTGGCAATGGGCTGGTACCAAGAAGATTTTTGACATTTATGGTATAGCTTAAACAAATATGAGTAATCTATTAACTTATTAGTCCCCACATAATTAAGGAAATTCAGTTTTTATAATTTAGTATAAATATTATTCCTCACATGAGATACTAAGGGCACACGGATAATAAAGGATGCTAGGCATTTTGAATTTGTACAGATCATTTCTGTGAAAAATATATTAATATAAATATCTATTTTTTGCAGTTTAATCATTAATGCAGATACCTAATAGAGCAGGATTATGACATTAATTTTCATATCCGAGGCAACAGTGATTCAAAATTAATAAATAAATTCAACTAAAAAATGGCCTGTCCTTTTTTTTTTTTTTGTTAATTACGTTTACCTTGGTCTCCGTCCATATTTATTATGATATCCTCACTTCAATTTCTACCTTAAAGTTGTGGTGTATGTCTTAGTTGTTTCACACTCAAGTCAATCTCTACTCATGACCGCTTGCTCAAACCCTGCTGCCTCCATATTCTTTTTCAAATATTCCTGAATCATGTACTTCACACACACAAACAAAGAATCCCGTCCCTGAATATTTTGGAGTCTATATCTTAAATATCTGAAGTAGGTAATTTCTTAGCTTCCTGTAATTTTATATTTTTTTTATATGACAAAGAGGTGAATACATATATCTAAACTGAAACCAGCTAGAAAATCGATGTGCATTTTGTATATTCATTGTGTGACTGGAATTTCTCACGTTGGCAGAGTTTGTCTGGCAGCAGTAGAAAACTGTTAGCAATGAATTCTGGGTGTGGTGGAAGTGGATCAGTCGACGAAGAGACCTCAAACTCTCGGAAGGGAAGGAAACCAACCTATCGACACTCAATACAACAGATACAACATCTTGAAGCGTAAGATTTATAGAACACTTGATTTTTTATGGATGATTTATAATTTTTTTTGTAAGTTTAATTGTTTTTTAAAAAAAGCAATCCAAATTCAGATAAGGGATACTAGTTTGAGTGTTCTTTTTTCACACTTCCATTTTTCTAGTTATTGAAGAATATTAAAGTGTTGGTTAATTTTGCAAAAAGTAAAAGATATTCCATATATATATATAGATCATGGTTAAAACTTTCTTGATGCAGTAATTAATATTTTTTTTTGATTTATTCAATCAAAAACATGAATATTTTTCTCCTGATTGATGGAAATTATGCAGGTTCTTTAAAGAATGCCCCAAACCAGATGAGAATCAGAGGGTACAATTGGGCAGGGAACTAGCACTTGATCCCAATCAGATAAAGTCTTGGTTTCAAAATAAAAGGACTCAGATGAAGGTGCCATATATATGTATAGTTGATTTATACAAATATATTCCTGCCAATTTCATTGCTGATAATTATCATAGTGTATTTTATGCATTTCAGGCTCACCATGAGAGAGCAGACAATAGCACCCTTCGATCTGAAAATGAAAGAATACTCTGTGAGAATTTAGCAATGAAAGAGGTACTGGATAACATCATCTGCCTGACTTGTGCTGGCCCACGTCTTGGTGATGAGGCAAGGCAACGTAATCTACTGAAATTAAGAATGGAAAATGCCTTGTTGAAAGAAGAGGTGATTGATTCCTCGTTTCTTTTATAAAGAAAATCCACGTGTGCCTAGGTAGTGGATATGGAGTAAACTCTACCTCGTTTATGACTAAAAATAATTTGGACAAAGGTGGGAAGCATTCCGAATTTAATACCTGCCTAAGGGAAAAAATTAACTTTTATATGTAAGTCTTGAAAGAAGAAAGGTGAACTCATTTTTGTTACATTTTGCAGCATGAACGGATGCTTAACTCATACTCCAGTTTCCTGGGAAAATGATGGCGTACAAGTATTGGCATTAGATTATGTGGACGAGGGGATGAGCACAAGCATCGGGGCACAGCAAAATAATCCCCTGTTCGGCCAATTGATCACTTTTCAGCTTTATTTCTGTTAAATAATCGGCATCTTTTAATTACAAAAGGGAAATTTGGTCTTTTAGTTTATCCTAGGGCTTCAGTCCTTTATAAACAATTTCTGAACTGAATTCTAGGGTTGTTATATATATATATATATATATATATATATATATGTTGGGAAAACACCTCCCAAAAATAGCCCAAAGATCAAACAATGTTGGCAAAGTGAAAATTTCCAAAACACTTGAAGAACAAGAAAATGAGGAAGAAATGATTTCCAATGGAATATATGAAGATAAATGTGTTTGGATTACTTGAACAAGCCTCAAGTTAATTCCCAAGAAAGAAATAACTTAGAATTTGTACCCAAAATGAACAACCTTCAACTTGTAGAATTCTCACCAAGTTTTCTCTCTAATTTTCTCTCTAGGTCTTGTGTTAAAATGAAAGAGGGAAAAATGGCAATATATATATACATGCCGAGGCGCCTAGGCACCACTCTGCTTGGGAACCGCCTTCGGGGCGCCTAGGCGCCTGGACATGGCGCCTAGGCACCCAGTTTCTGATTTGGAGGTTCACTCGGGGCGCCTAGGCGCCCAGTTTCCAGCGCCTAGGGGCTGCCTTCTTCAGCTTTTCTTCTTCAGTTTCTCCTGGTTTCTTAAGCTTCTCATCTTCAGCTCCTCTTCTCATCTTCAGCTTCTCTTCTCACATTTCTCCACCTCGAACATCATTTGATAAACCTCAAATTTTGGACGAACACAAGAAGAAGAAACAAGCACCTAAAAAAAAACTCGGCTGCATCATTCAAACCATGATTGCCTATGTATCCAAAACTCGGGATCAAGCCTCCGTAGTTCACCTCCACCTTCATATACACTCCACCTCATTTCAACCTCGCCCCCAAGGGCCATGCCCTCTCGGGCATATCAACACGGACTAATGTGAAGCAAGTCCAAGCAATGTTGAAACTTGCTACCTGTCACCACTTTGGTTAACATGTCAGCTGGGTTCTCATTTGTGTGTACCTTCGAGAGTGAGATATCACCTTCCTCTATAACATCACGCACAAAATGATACCTGACGTCAATATGCTTGGTTCAAGCATGATGAACCTGATTCTTAGCCAAGTGAATCGCACTCTGGCTATCACACCACAAGTCCACACAATCCTGCTCAATCCCCAAATCATCTAGAAGACCCCATAACAACAATGCTTCCTTCACTCCCTCTGCCATGGCCATATACTCGGCCTCTGTAGTAGAAAGAGCAACTGTAGCCTGTAACATCGATCGCCAACTAACTGGGGCACCATGTATGCAAAACACATATCCAGTAATAGATCGTCGTCTATCTAGATCACCTGCATAATCCGAGTCCACAAACCCACTTATATGACATGCATCTCCACCAAAATATAGACCCATATCCGCGGTACCTTTTAGGTACCTCAGGATCCACTTCACAACTTCCCAGTGTGCCTTCCCCGGATTCGCCATGAATCTACTGACCACACTCACCGCCTGTGAAATATCTGGGCGTGTACACACCATGGCATACATCAAACTGCCAACTGCACTAGCATAAGACACACGATCCATGCGTACCTTTTCTTCCGCTGTAGTAGGAGACTGTTTACCAGAGAGCCTAAAATGTGGAGCCAATGGAGTCACCACCGACTTTGCACCTTGCAACCCGAACCTAGCAATAACCCGCTCAATGTAGCCTTTCTGACTCAAGAACATTC